GCAAGAATTGGTGTGAATTTTTCAGGACTGGCATCTGCTGTGCACGCATCGACGAATACTACAGTGACAGTTGAGGTGTATCTGAAGGGCTTCAAGTCACCTTATTGTATCGCGGTGTAGTGGTCGCAGCAGCAGCAACAGCAGCAGCAGCAGCAGAGGTGAATTGTCCTGCCCGCAGAGAGGCGTCCTGGGAGAGGGCGTTTTGCTTGTCGTCCGAGGGACCGGGGCATTTGTGCTCAAACAGAGGACTGCATCCTGCGACATCCAGTAACAGACCAACCATTGAAGCAATCGAACTGTGTCGCTGTCGCGGTACTCTGGTGAAGCAGCAGCAGCAGCAGCAGCAGCCGTATGATCGGCGTGTTCTTGAAAGCTGCCCGACCGCAGTTTCCTGTAGTGGTACCAGCCGCCGCTGCGTAGATCGTGCAGTCGCACCTGCGGCGCCTTATTGTGGTACTGCTGCTGGCGCTTGTGCCGCCACCGAACAACTGCGCCGTTGTTTCTGGAACGGAAACAACTATTCGACGAGGAGGAGCGTTGGCGGCATGAATTCTGCTGGGACGAAGGCGCCGGCGGGTGCTTCGTCCGAGGCCACATCAAAGCAGAAAACCGAGACTGCGACGAGCAAACAGGGCGCTAACGGCAACAACGCCAAGGACAGCGACTCCGATGGCGAGGGAGCCGAAGAGGTACCAAATCCTTTACAACCGTTTTTCCAATAGGAGTAATGACAACAAGACGACTGCAAGCGCGGGAAGTCGGTTTAGTCTCGGGAGAGCTGGGATTGTGCCTGAGATTGTATTGCAGAAGATGTAGCATTAAACGGGTTCACAGATATCTTCCTCGAACTCGAGGGCCGTTTGATGGTCCTAGCTCCTCTAAAATATGAAAAATCTGATTGCATAACTTTCCGTGGCTCTTTTCAGTCGCTGATTTCACTTTTTTTTTAGCGATTTTGTTGCTCACGTTCCCTACACGCATGCATCTTTCTCGGCCCTTGACCTAGTTTTGAAGATTTTTGTATCCCACATCTCTGACAATGTGTAAGTGTGTGCGTTGGTAAGAAGAAGCAATATTCCTTGTCAATATTAAGTTGTGAAAATGCGCGAAAAAGGGGAATTGTTGAAGCTGTCAAGTTAAAGTGATGGAGATTTCCAGATCCTGGAAGAAAGTCCGTGCAAGAGGTGGAGTAAGCGGCGCGAACAAGTGAAGCAGCGAGATGTGCCCGGTATTGACTACGCCTATCTGGCAATGGACAATGAGACTGGCAATGAAGTGGTTTGGAACGAAGTGCTCTTCTCGGAGCGTAAAAACTTCCGTTCTCAGGAGGAGCAGATCAATGCCGTTTTTGAGAAGCTGACACATCTTGTGCATACGAATCTCGTCAAATTCCATAAGTACTGGGCGGACCAGAAGTCCGAGAAGCCAAGGGTTAGTTTTGTGGAGATGTGCTCGGGGTGATGCACTCATTTCCGTTGCTTATGATGCTGTTCCAGATAATATTTATCACCGAATATATGTCATCTGGTTCCTTGGCGCGCTTCTTACAACGCACTCGCAAATCGGGCTCGACTCTGAACTTAAAGGTCAGTTTACTGTGATGCCCAGATAGTTTTGTTCATCTGAAGAAGAGGGGCTGCATAAGTGGTGGGATGATTGTGTAACATTGAGCATTTCTTTCCGGTGGC